AAAAAAAAAAAAAAAAAAAAAATCTCTGACAACTAGTGATGAAGAGAAACTTCCTCAACTTGATAAGGGACACTTGTTAAAAACTAACAGTATCATCACACTAATAGTGAAAGACAAACTTTTTCCCTAAATCAAGAGCAAGGCAAGGATGCCACTTTCACTACTGTAATCCAATCCCGTACTAGAAGTTCTAGCCAGAACAACTTAGTAAAGAAAGCACCCAAATTGGGAAAGAAGAAGTAAAACTATATCTATTTCCAATAGCATGATCCTATATAGAGAAAATCACAAATAATCTACCAAGAAAACAAAAATAACAAACACACACCAGGCATGGTGGGGCACAGCTGTAATCCCAGCACTAGGAAAGCTGAGGTAGGAGGACTGCCACAAATTTGAGGCCAGCTTGGGCTACACACTGAGTTCAAGGCCAGCCTAGACAACAGAGCAAGACCCTGTCTTGAAAAGAAGCATTTAAAATGAAACCATGACCTAAATATAAAAGCTAAACCCATAAAACTCTTAGAAGAAAACCTAAGAGATAGTAGGAAATATTTCTAATTGGAAAGCCACTCCATGGGGGTGGCTCTGAAACTTTGTTTCCACCGAACAAACCAAAGTCTAATGTGAATGGTAAAGCTGAAACTAGAAACTGTACCAAGAAACCACTAACCAGTCAAGAGCATTGTTTTTCTCTTATTTTCTACAAATACTTTACAAAACTTTCGCCCTTGCCCCTCCTGACAAAGTGGTATACATTCCCCATTCAAAACTCAAACTCTTCAAAAATTTAAATGTACTTCAGTCTTCATTTTATCAGATGTGGTATTAGAAATGATGAAGACCTACAGGAGGGCTGGGGACCTAGCTCCATAGTAAAGCACTAGCATGAATGAGGCTCAACCTCCAGTACAAAAAAAAATTTTGTTTAATCTTGAGTTCAATGTATTAACGAAAGGTATCCCTGCCCACATAGAAAATGCTTTGTCTGGGCAAGGTGGTGCACGCCTGTAATCCCAGCACTGGGGAGGTTAAGGCAGGAGTACTGCTGTGAGTTCAAGGCCAGGCTGGACTACACAGCAAGATCCTGTCTCAAGAAAAAAAAAAAAGAAAGAAAAAGAAAATGCTTTGTTCATCTTACTCATGGGTTCCCCTGAGCCCATGTGTAGTTGAGACTTGAGGTATCACTGTGAGGATGAAACCCACTCCTGGTGCTTCTCAACCACAAGGGTTGGTCAGTCAACCAGATATGCAAACAGAAGATAAATCTATCACTGAGCTCAGAGCCCATTTGGAAATTTTATATTTCTTATGGGATTCCAGTAAATCTACCCCATCCTTCTTCTCTTTTCCCAGCCCTGGGGATTGAACCTAGGCCCTGTGCCACTAAGCCACACTCCTCATTCATGTGTTATATGTGTATTTGTGTATAAATGTTATGAGTTTGTGATTTTTTTGGATGATATTACTAAAACAATTGATAAAATCCTTTAAGCTAGTTTTATTCAAACTGGCCTAGTAATAAATGAGCACTCACAAAGTACTCCTAAAATTCTCACAAAAAGAAAAACTGACCCAACTGTGTTTTTCCCCTACTTTCACATTTAGGTTTCGGTAGATCTGATAAATAAAAGTTAAATTGTTATTCAAAACAGAATACAGGGCCAGGGATTTAGCTCAGTGGTTCCAACGCCCATCTCACAAGCCCAAGGTCCAGAGTTCGATGCCCGGTACCAATAAAATAAAAAAATATGAATGTTTTCTTCATTTTTAGTTTTTGCTGGTCTGCTGGTCAGATTCTGTGTGGCCTCTAATGTTCAAGACCATAAACCCAGAAATTATAAAACTAAAATGTGCAGTAAAAATAAATTGCTTGATAAGTAATGGTCAGAAAAAAAGAACTGAAAGACCCATGTTTAACTTTTTAGCTTCTCAGCTTCTGATGTTTGAATTTTGCCTGATTCATCAACAGAAATCCAGCAGCATGAAATGATGGGGTGAAAGAAAGGACAGGAGACAGTGGAGCCTTGGAAGTACCTGCCCTAGCCAGGAAGAAAGAAAGAAAAGAAAGCTTCGCTGTGCATCTGTGATTTTTCAAGTGCCCTCATCTCAGAATGATCAATGTGCCAAAGCAGCATATTTTAGGACAGCATTTCCCAAACTCCTTCAATGGCAAGCTTTGCTTAGTTTCTAATAGAATTTTTCATGAGAAATTCAAGCATAAAATTAGGACTAGAGTAGAACTCAGTGGTAGAGCATGTGTTTAGCATGCACAAAGCCCTGAATTTAATTCTCAACACCATAAAAAAGAGTTAGGTAAATGCAAATGAAATAAAAGTTTATCAAACTTTTCAAAAATATTTATGCCTTATAGACTATATGTACATTTTGTTTTTTGGTTTTTTGAGACAAGAGTGTTGTTTTGTAGTTCTGGCTGGTCCTGAACTCACTATGTAGCCCAGGCTGGCCTCAAACTCATGGCAGCCTCCTATGTGCTGCCTCAGCCTCCTATGTGCTGGGGTTGCAGGTGGGCACCATCACACCCGGCCTACA